TATCGTCGTCTCCACCAAGGTATTACACGCTGGAGCTGGGCCAAACCATATAACTGTATTGACTGGCATAGATCTACTGGGGTACTCACAATTCCGCCCTCCCCTCGCCACGCAACAAGATCAACAACCTTGGGCTATCGCGAAAGCATCTCATCGAAGCAACCGAAGCTTCACTCGAACGACTACAACTAAGCTACGTCGACATCCTGTACGCGCATCGCCCAGATCGCTACACGCCAATCGAAGAAACGGTACGCGCCTTCAACTACCTCATCAACACAGGCAAAACCTTCTACTGGGGCACATCTGAGTGGCTCGCCTCCGAGATCGAAGAGGCATGGGCTGTAGCCGACCGTCTCGGACTCATCGGCCCCATTGTCGAACAGCCCGGCTACTCGCTCCTCCGTCCTCAGAAAGTGGACCAAGAGTTCAAAGACGCAGGCCTCTACACCCGCCGCGGTCTCGGTCTTACCATCTTCTCCCCCCTTCAAGGCGGTCTCCTCACGGGAAAATACGTCGACGGCGTCCCTGAAGACTCACGTCTCCGGGTTTCAGACGACCCATACATTCAGTCCGTCATGAAAGGCGTTGGCAGCGATGCGTGGAACGAGCAACAAGGCAAGATCAAGAAGCTCATGGATGTTGCAAAGAAGCTTGATACTGATGTCGCGACGCTGTCTATGGCGTGGGTGCTGTCAAACAAGAACGTGTCGAGTGCTATCACGGGTGCGTCGCGGCCGGAGCAGATTTATCAGACGGTCAAGGCAGTTGATGTCTATCGCAAGCTGACCAAGGAGAATTTGGAGGAGATTGAACAGGTTATGGGGAGTAAGCCTGAGGCTCTTACTATGAGGTTTGGATGAACGTATGTAGACATTGCGAAGATAGACCTGAAAGTACGTTAGACTGTAGAAGCCATGCTTTACTTGCATCGTAATTGCACATCATGAAGGTATTGACGAGCTCACGTTATGTTCTTCCCGCTGGTCCTCCATGAGGCTAGCTTCGTCACGGGTTCTCGCGTTCCAGTGCATGGTCCGTGCCACGTTTGCCTAATGCAACAGGCTACACCGTGTCGTCTGATGCGGCATCTACAACATCGTACGCCTTCGCTCTTTCTTCCATTTGCGATTTTCCAGATGCAACACGTCCACGACCGCCAAATTACACCATCTATTAGGGCCACAGCATTCCGGCGTCGGGACATCGACGGCACGCGACGCTAGTCACCATACGCGAAGCGCGCAAAAGAAGCATCAGCTAACGTGACCATGGCCGGTAAAGAGGCAACAGTCTACATTCTGGATCTAGGGAAGTCAATGGGCGAGAAGAGACATGGCCGCGATCAGACAGACCTCGATTGGGCATTAGAGTATGTGTGGGACAAGATTACCACTACCGTAAGTCGACGTTCATTTGGGGATTTAGTATGTTCGATGCTCAGAACGCTGTTATCTCCGCTCAAAGCTGTTTTGGCTCGGAAGTTAATCAAGACTTAGGTTGCGTCAGGGAGGAAGACCGCGTTGATGAGCGTGATCGGTTGCCGAACAGATGAGACCGATCTTAATGGTGTTATGGAAGAAGGGGAAGGATATGAGAACATCAAGGTATTCTCAGATTTGAAGCAGTAAGTTGGCAAGTTACAAGGTATGTAGTAGTCACTGACGGGTGCTAGGTATCTACTCGGTGATATACGAATGCTACAAGACCAGCTCAAACCAAGCAAAACAGATAGCGGCGACTGTGAGTAGCATGCATTTATAACTCTGCTTGTTGCTAACAGTCACAGTGCTTTCCGCTCTTGCGGTAGCTGTTCACATGATCGACAATGGGACACAAGGTGCCAAAGGTAACCCATTAAAGTACGATCGCAGGGTGATCATTGTGACTGATGGTCGCGGTCAAATGGACACAAGTGATCTCGAAGAGATGGCGACGAAGATCAAAGACCCGGCTGCTCCATTCGAGATTGTGTTGCTCGGTCTCGATTTTGATGACGAAGATGTGGGCTATAAAGAGGAGGGAAAGAACGCTGGAAAGGTATATGACACGATCGCGAACACGGACAATGATTGACCCGATATAGGCAAAGAATGAAGCTATATTGAAGGGCTTTATAGACGACTGCAATGGCAACTTCGGCACACTTGCGACAGCCATCGATCAACTTCATACACCGCGTCTCAAGGAAACCCGCCCTGTTCAGAGCTACAGAGGCTCGCTTACATTGGGAGATGCTAGCAAGTACGAGGCCACCATTACCATTGACGTCGAGCGATATCCATGTACCATGATATCAAAGCCGCCCACAGCAAGTACGTTCGCAGTACGAACGGATCCGGGCGCATCGGGGCAGTCATCGGCGACTGTCGTGGGCGAAGACCAGCTGATGCCCGATCTGGCAGCAGTCCACAACCAGCGCGTCTACCAAGTGGACAACCTGGATGAGCCTGGTCTGAAAAACCCCGTTGAGCTTGACGAGCTAGAGCGCGGCTATGAATACGGCAGAACTGCAGTGCACATCTCAGAGTCCGATATGAATGTCGTCAAACTGGAAACCCAACAGTCTCTAGAATTGGTCGGCTTTGTAAAGATGGAGGAGTTCGAGCGTTATCTTCCCATTGGCCGCTCCAACTTCATCGTACCGCAGAAGGCCAATACCCAAGCACAGCTCGCCCTATCTTCGTTCATTCACGCTCTCTACGAAGCCGATTGCTATGCGATCGCAAGACTGGTGGCAAAAGACCTCAAACCTCCAGTGTTGCTGCTCCTTGTTCCCCGTATCGAGCTGGAGTGGGAGGCTCTAGTCGATGTTGAGCTACCTTTCGAGGAAGACATGAGACGGTACAAGTTTCCACCGTTGGATCGAAAGCTCACAGTCAGTGGAAAAACTATCACAGAGCATAGAGACTTGCCTACCGACAAGCTCCTTGACGCAATGAGCGACTATGTCGATGCAATGGATCTATCGACGTTTGGCCGCGACGAAGAGGGTAACCCAGAGGAATATGCGAAACCAGAGGATACGTTCTCACCCCTTGTCCACCGCATTGGGCACGTGATAAAATGGCGAGCGACGCACCCCGACCCTACGCTGCCTATTCCCGATCCACCCGAGATTCTAATGAAGTACTCCGCGCCACCAGCAGAGCTCCTCGCCGCATCGGAAAAGCAATTCAAGAGATTGATGGAAGCAGCAGATGTCAAGAAAGTCCCACCAAAGGTCAAAGGTCGAGGAAAACGCCAGCGTGGAGATCGCGACAAGCCCCTCTCCGGTCTCGATGTTGACGCACTCCTCGGCAACCCCAAGCGAGTCAAGATCGAAACCAACAATCTCATACCCTCGTTCAAGCAAGCGCTGGCCGCTTCTGACGACATGGAGGCTATCCAAGAAGCCGTCGACGATGTTGCAAAGGAGATTCGCAACCTTATCAGCAACAGTGTGGGCGATAATGCTTATGGACGGGCACTTGAGGCCATTCGCGTCATGCGCGAGGAGCTTACTGAGCTCGAGGAGCCAGACATATACAATCCCTTCATCAAGCAATTGAAGGAAGATATCCTGGGCGGCAAGCTGAATGGCAATCGTCGCGATATGTGGTGGAAGATCAAGGGAAGCAAGTATGGACTTGTGGACCTGACGAGGTGCCACACTAGCGCTGTGACTGAGGATGAAGCGAGAAGATTTTACGAGATCTGAGGGGACTGGACTGTTGAGACATACGAGGCGGCCTGAGAGTGATGGACAGGTTCTAATGACCGGTTGCGATATGATGCCACATTCAACCGCCCATAGCGAGACCACCTATCGCCTTGCGCTCTCGTGATTGGAGCATATGCGATTGCGAATTGCTTTTTTCGGTGGTCAAAGCAATGGTTCGGTATTAAACACTGCCTCTCGGATGTAGCGAGATCACCGTAGCATGATCGTATGCACAAATGTATTTGTGTCTTGTAGTGGTGACTTTGTTTGCTGCTGCAGCACGTACATGCCTTGTTGCGGGTGACTCTCGGCTAACGCACCTGTTCCGTCCGAGCTTCCTCCGTGCCTCCTTCCATGGCTTTCCTGCACCAGGTGCCACGACACCGCTCATCAGGCGTTCGTCATGTTCAACCGCAGCATTGACCGTTTCAAATGTGTAAGCCACCCGTCGCCACTATGATGGTTTCCGCGCGCGAATAGACCAGGCGCAGCCAAGGGCCTGATAAGTCGGTCGCGCGATGCGGCTGGCTGCCGTTGTTGTTGCGACACTCCCGTGCGAGCACCGGGGACCGACTGACATCAGATGATGAGCCTCTAACGTGTGCAACCCCTGCCAGCTGACGGTTACGGCTCAGCCCTAGGAAGATGCAGCTCAGCTACGACGCCAGAGCGGCCATTCCGAGGATACTGACCGGTCTTTTGTAAAACCATCTAGGATACCTATTCCACAGTGCAGACCCTTATCTTCTTCAAACATGCAACTACAGACTCTCAAACTACTGAGACATGATCCAGCCAAGCGCTCTGAGTACCAATCCGATTTTTGACGCCTCCAACAACTGTCAACATGGATGCTCATACCCCTCGATACTCATATTTACCTGCATCGCCGGACATTCGCATTTCCCGACCAGATTATGCCACCATACCCTCTCGAACAAGCGACGAGTCCACCGACAGCAGGCGCGGGACGCCATCAAGATACAGCGAAAACGTCAACGACCCAGGCCTAGGTATCCAAATGGAGCCCATGCCATCACCCAAATCACCAGGCTCTACGTATTGGCGGCAAGATACGCCTAATGCGAAGCCTGGTGCTTTTTCTCCTCCGACCTACTCTTCAGGACCACGACCACCATACTCCAGAACACCAGATACACTGTATTCGTTTGGATCGGGTATCTCGAGAGCGCGAACGGATCCTATGACCGAGAGGTTGATAGCACACCGAGCGACGCAGTCAACCCAATGGCGAGTAAACTGGCGTGGACCAGCACTCATGGTGTTTGCTTTCATCATGGGCATCGTGTTTGCGCTTCTTCAACACCTCTTGTATACTTTTTTGCACCACCAGAGAGAAGAGGACGAGGACAAGAAGTTTCGCTGGGTTCTGTATGGGCGCGCACTTGCCTATTTATCGAAGCTTGCTTTTGGCGGATGTGTGGTACTGGTCTTTCGTCAGCGCATGTGGAGGGCGTTTAGGAACCGGGCTTTCACTGTGCTGTCTATCGATCAGATCTTTGGCGCTACTGAAGATCCATCGATCTTTGGCAATTGGGAGGCTCTTTCGAGTGCGCCAGTCCTGTGCGCTATCGCTTTGGTGAGTGACTATCCCTGCAACAACTGTGTAGAATACATCACTAATCAAAGATGCTGGCTTGCAGGTCATCTGGCTGGTCCCGTTGGCAACAATCATCTTCTCGCCCGGTGCGCTTACCTTCGGAACCTATCTCGACAGCGAGACGATCGATCTCAACGTTCCCACGCTGAACTTCTCGATCGAGTCCACAAAAGACTGGCGCCATCCGGTGAAGTTGGCCGACGGAAGCAACAAGAGATCGATGATGTATTACAATACTACAGATTTATCTGGTACTGCACCAGGGTGGTTTGACTATTACGATCAGCCCTCGGCGGAGTTAAGACGTGTCGCTCTTCTGCTGGCTTATAGCAACGTGGACCGTCCCAACATCAGGCAAGATGCTCGACAAGACGCTTGTGGAGGGCGGTACAATTGCACGTACGAACAAAGCTTTGTTGGGCCGAGCTACCAATGCGAAGAAATAGCAAGTGCTGCAGATGACGATAAGAGACTAACGGAATTGGGTGCGCCCTTCAACATGAGCATTTTGGCACCGCGAGGCCGCTTCGTTTACTACGCCGACGTCGACGAGGGCGAATATGCCCGCCCGCAAGCTGACAACTTCCGCAAAGGCTCGGGTGGTATACCTGATGGTGAAATTCCAGTCAACCTGGGTGTCTTCAAGTCAGAACCTGCGCTCTGGATTGGCTATGCGTTCAATTCCACAGTAAAGCTTGCGGAAGACGATCCTCTTGCAAAGACCTGGACACATCGCTATGATGCGCGAATCATGCGCTGCATACATATGGAGACTAAGTATACAGTCAGCTGGAACTTCACTGAACCCTTCTTCAATTCAACGGTCAAGCTAGAACCGCAGAGGCCTATTGTAGATACCAGCTTTCTGCGGGGAGTCGACGGCAAGATCAACTATACCCTCGATCCGGGACCAGCGGAAAAATACATCAGTCCTCGGAGCGATGTAGGCCTCTACAAGAAAATTGCCGCATACCATGCTGTTGGCGACATGTTCAGGGACTTTCTCCGCGGACACGTCGATCTCGAACCGCCATTGCCAGGACCATACTACGCACAAGTCTATTCTGATGTCACGAAGACACGACTGGTCCAGAAGAACAGCGAGCCTAAGCAAAACCTAACGGCTGAGATCGAGACCTTCTACTCAGACATGGTTTTGTCATTGCTGTCAGCGCCAGAGATGATAGCAGTCGCCGAAGAACAGCTTACAGTGAACCGCTCGCGACTCCAATCCTCATTCGTCTACGTCCCCGAACGGCTCTGGCAGTGTTATGCGCCGGTCATCTTCATCACACTCCTCATCCTCCTCTTCGGCGCTTTCACAATCTGGCAAGACGGAACGACATTCTCGACTGGCTTCTCTCGCATTCTAGTAACCACACGCAATACCACCCTAGACGACATTAGCCGTGGCGCATGTTTGGGCAATGACCCTTTTCCACTGGAATTGATGCACACTAGACTCAAGTTTGGTGTTCTTGCGAACAGTAACGACCCAGAGTACATGAGGGAACATGGGTATCAGGGGATTAGTGACTTCCACAGTGTAAACCATTGTGCTTTTGGCGTTGCTTCGGAAATCGCGCCTATCATTAGAGGCGCGCCGTATGCTGGGTTGACGAGGCGGCACAATGGAAAGACGTGAGCAAAGTTGAAGACGGAGGATGAATATCTACTCCACGTGGTGTCGACTTGCTGCAAGCATGCGATGCAGCCCTGGAGGGTATAACAAGTAATGTAGTGGAGCATTGAAGAGACTCAATTCCAACCACAAGCTCTGGGTAGCACCAACGCAACGTCTTGCACGCGCTTTGGCTGGCGCAGCCTGTAGTTACCCTATGTAGATGTCTAGCGCTGATGTCGCGTCCTCGGAGACATCAAGCCGGACGCAAGCCCGGGTTGTTAAAGTGTTTCAGAAGGCAAACGCGTTCAATACATGGTCATGACTATCTGCCGTTTACGTACGTCGATGCAAATGATGGTAAATCCAAGCGAGGTGGGTGGCTGCCAACAGATGCGGGTGGCTGCCCACGTGCCGCTCCTGTCGTTAGCGCGCTGGTCCTTCCCGTGCCTCCACCCACTCAGCTCTCATTCATCTTATCAAAGTTTGCGACACGCGATGGCCCAACCTATTGTATGCATCCTCATCTTCTAGAGCTCCCTGGAACGTGTCGGCCTCGACACCCGTTACGTGACGGCTGAACCCACAAGTGGATAGTGTGGGGGCGGAAGCGTTGATCGACCCAGCCTCCTGAACCCGAGCACCATTGACAAACCGTCGCCCGAACATCGAAATCGTATCAAGCTTGTGGGCAGGTTTTTTAAAACACTGAAGCTTGCTGATATTACAACCGGAGAAAATCAAGATAATGGGCAACTGCCATGGCTGTTACTCACACAAGCGCGTCAACCTGCCGCGCATATTGTTGTTCGATGCTGTCTCCCGGTCTCCCAGCTATGACCATGCGCAAGGCTCAAAGGCATGCTCAGCACGGATTTCGCTGAGGTAAAGCACGAGGCGACCTGCAGGGGAATCATTGAGCATGCATTGGCGCAGCCACAACTGGGCAATGCTGAGACGTGAGTGAACCTCGCCCCTTTGCTGTACCGCAGTAGGCTCACTGGAATATAAGCCCTAATCCGACTGCTCTTGCCATGCAATCAGTAATCAGGCTGCAGAGACAATGGAAGGACTTTCGGTCGCGGCGAACGGTACTTTCGATGAACGATTTCGTTATCCTCTACTAATATCATCCAGGCCTCGCTGTCATATCTGTGGCTTTCCAGCTTACCGAAGCGTGTATCAAACTTTATACATTTTGGGAGACAGTCGAAGATGCTCCTCGGGAGATCATTGCCATCAAGGAAGATCTACGCTTCCTCATCTCAGTCTTCCAGAGAGTCGAATCCCATGGCAACAGTCTTGGTGGTTGTTTAGCAGAAGGCGTAAAACACTGCCGAGCCAAGATTGCAGTAAGTGTAACGAGTTGGGTACGCAAGCTACCACTGATCATCCCAGGATCTGACACTCATTGTTGAAAGATTCGATGACGGTCTTTCATCGTTGTCGCGGAGGCAACGAGTACGTACAGCTTTCAAAGCTGCCCTTCACAGCAAACATATCCAACGATTTCGTGACTCGCTGAACGACACAAAGTCGACACTTACACTGGCTATGGCCCACGAAAGGTACGACGCGACTATATGCATACCAATAGCGGTTCGCTAACCATGCACACCTAGCGTGATTCAAGCTCGCTCTTCCCGTCTTTCAACAAAAGTGAAAGTGTTTGGAGAGATCGAGGGACATGTTGCTTCAAAGCCCGTTCGAAAAGGCCCACTTCGTCTGCCCGGTATCGAAGACGCGTCTAGCTGGACACCAGTGCAAAGCATCCCCTCGAAGTTCGTTGGCCAGCGTTCCCTCCGCCGAATGACGTCTTCATTCACGACGAACGCACTACAGCCTTTGGGTAAAATGCTCACGGAGCGCAGCTCGATCGATTATGAGGTACAAGAGCTCATGTTACACGCAATCGCACAAACTGCGGTCACCACCTTCGAACCGACATCGATGGAGATCTATTCACAAGACGGCTATACGATCGATGAATGTGGACAGTTGCGGACCAAGACTTTTGTTTATGCCGAGAATCTACGGTATCGCGTAAGACACCATGTCTCTACCATCCGCACTACACTCGGATGTGCTTGGCTACGCACAACGACTGTTCACCACGACAACAAATTTTCCAAGGGGCGTAGGAAGTCCCAGATCGTCAGGTCGCTCATATTGTACCCTACAAGATGGCAACAGTACATGGGCATTCAGAGCGGCCTCGAAGCTGTCGTGGCATCCGGGGGCCGGAGCTGGCTCTTTAACTGTAACATAACAGTAACCCGCCCTGTTTCCGACGACTCACTCATCTTTGAGCTTTGTCGCACCGGTCAGACCCGTGCTGTCGAAGCACTTTTGGAGAAGGGAATGGCAAGCGTAGTAGATACGAGTCCCAAAGGATGGAAGCCACTGCACGTAAGACGTTACTCCTATGTGAAAGACCCATTCAAGAATGCTGACTTGGCCAGTTTGCCGCTGCAGCAGGTCACGTCGATCTTTGCGCTTTGCTGATCAAGGGAGGGGCAGACAAGTCTGCCCTGGTGTATGAAGGACCTTCTGATGCGATCTTGTAGGTCCCCAGAGTCATTGACGGCACCGCTGCTAACGAAACTAGATCGCCCATATCGCTTTTCGTCGCATTTTGTACCGATGAGCACGCTGATATCAAGATCGCCATGCTCAGACTCTTCTGCGAATGCATTGACATCGCCGACGCCGACAGCGATGGCTGGACTGTACACGACTGGCTCAAGAGAGCGTATGCGAGAGAACGAGTTTCTATTTCGCGAAACAGTATTACGTGGCTACTGCACCTTACCGTGAATGAGGAATACGTCGAATTTAGCGCACGCAATATCTGGTCCGCCCTGCAACACGCGATGAGATCTGTTCTCAACCATTCCCGTCACAAGAATTACATCCAGCAGATCCTCGGTCTTTCTCACGAAGAGCGTTCGGGTGTTAGTAAGCGACACCTGGACGCGATAGGCTCTTGGCTTGCTCTACGTGCAAGTGGCCGAGTAGTGCTGCCAATGGTTGTGAACGCCGGCTCTTTCTTGCAGATGAAGGGCTTTGATTGGATGGAGGACAACCTCACACACAAGCAATTCCTGCAAGCACTGCCAAGTATCTATTCAGCTTGGTGCAACGCGGTATTGGACTGCATCGAGCAGTTGAAAGTGTATCTGCGGGAAGAGCTCGATCGCTATCTATGCCAACTTGGCATGACACGAAACACCTTCGTCCGTTTGCTGAGTCAGACCAAGCGCATACCGCACGGCGCAGGTGTTGGAAGGCTATCACGGACTGCATGCACCCACTGCAAAGACGACTATGGTCCATTTGCTGGCGGACTGGTCGAACCTGCGCGCATCGCCGTCACAGAATGCGTCAGATCAGGCCACAACTCGAACTGTGTCTGCAATGAGATCCAAAAAGGCTCGACAGTATTGGAAGAACTTTCGGAGTATACAGGTATGCTTCAGACGGACGACAACGACGATGATACGCATGCGGATGACGAATTCTTCGACGCACAGCCGCACGTTTTCAATGATACCGACCTCCAAACCAATACCACATCGAACATGTTCACCGACATCGCGACTTTGCTTTACAGCGCTCAGGGCCGGATCTGGCTTGGCGAACACTCAATCGGGGAGCGGCTATGCTCGACCTGCCTGTTGCTTAAGGAGAAGTACATCGGCGAGGATGGTCTGTCTGCTGACTTTCCACCGATGCCGAGGAGCTTCGAAGGGTTGCGCGTGAAGTGGTGAGCGTGCGCAATCCATTGTGTATCAATTTTCAGACGCTTTTCATGACACACGTGTATATATTTACATTGCTTTTCGTCGACTTTTGGTGGCACGCTTTAGTTGAACACAACAGTCTTTTGACCGTTCAAAAACACCCTCTTCTCGCTCCACCACTTGACTGCCGCAGCCAAAACCTGGCTCTCAACATTGCTACCCTCCTCGACCAACTCCTTGGGACTCAACGCATGGTCGACCCTCGCAACGCGCTGTTCAATGATCGGTCCTTCGTCCAGATCCGCTGTGACGAAATGTGCCGTCGCACCGATGATCTTGACACCACGCTCGTAGGCCTGATGGTAAGGTTTCGCGCCCTTGAACGAAGGCAAGAAAGAGTGATGAATGTTGATAATCTTGCCCGACATCTCCGTGCACAGGCGCGGTGAGAGGACTTGCATGTAGCGCGCCAGAACAACAAGGTCGATGTTATGTTGCTTGATGAGATCTAGAATCTGCGTCTCCTGCTTCTCCTTGGTGTCCTTGGTTACAGGAAGGTGGTGGAACTCAATGCCGTTGTTCTTTGCCAGCTCCGCGAACTCGGGGTGGTTGGACACAATAATCGGGACTTCGACTTTGAGTTGGCCAGACTTGACGCGGAACAAGAGGTCGTTGAGGCAGTGCCCGATTTTGGATACCATGATGAGGACTTTGGGCTTCGAGTCTACCCGTTGGATCTGGTATGTCATGCTCATTTCTGAAGCGAGCTTCTTCATGCTTTCTTGCAGCGCGGACACATCTGCTGCATGGCCGAAATGCACACGCATGAAGAAAGTCTTGGAGTCCGGGTCGGAGAATTGCTGGAGATCGAGAATCGTTAGGTTTTCCTTTGCCAGTAGGCCCGTGACGGCGTACACAATGCCTGCCTTATCCGGGCATGAGAGCGTGAGGTAGTGATCGTCGCCTGCCATTTTGGATGTTGAAATCCGTTCTGCGGAGCCGATTTGTTGAAGTCGCGGTACGGAGGTTGCTATGGATCGCCTGCTGTTCAATTGCAAAGATGACTGTTTTGTCGAAAATTTGGGAACTAGGTTTTGCCGGTTTCGGAAAGCGTCGTTTGGTGGGTTTATGGACGGCCGGGCCGCGATTGCGCGTGTTGATGTGTGGAGTGACCGTGTGCAGGTGCGCGCTGGTCGGAGAAACATGTCTATGATATGTAGATCTTTTCACGAGATCTGAGCGCGGAATGGCGTTTTCTTGATGCCGTGCTTGACACCTGCGGCTTGGGTGTAGTTGCCGGAATCGGCCGGCGATCTAGCCTCGTCGCTTACCAGTTGAGCCACCAGTTCGTGGGGATGCCGGTACCAAACTCCAAGTTTCTGCTTGCATCGTGTGGAGAAAAGCACATATTGTGCCAAAGATCTATGGATACAGATCAAGGTGGCGGGGAAGGCGAGGCTCACGCGATCATGCCTCCTTCTGTCATCCTGCTCCGAACGATGGTTCTTCTAATGTGGCCACCCACAGAATGCTCATGTTGCTTTTATATGATCGATATGCTTCTCCGCCTATCTAATTAGATCGATCCCTGCATCCGCTCAAATGCATCCACAAACTCGGTGTAGTCCCAGACGTCTTCGTCTTCGGGAACAAACCGCGAACCCGCATATTCATCTTTCGAGAGCCCAGGCGAAGGCACCATCTCGAGATGCAAAATCCTACGCAGTCGCTCATCCTCCCATGAACACATTTGACCCATCCAACTAGCAACCAGATCCACACGCTGCTCTCTCGTCTTGTTGGCCACATCGAAGAAAGCAGGTTTCCAAACCTCCTCACGCGGCGGCTTCAGTGAGTAGGTCAGCGTGTCCAGGTTGGGGAATTGCTCCAATATAGCCTCGCTGCTACGCAATATCTCAGGCCAAAACCTTCTCTTCCAGCAATAGCTCACATGCTCGAGCGACTTGTCGAAGATGCCGCGAGGACTTGCTTCAGTCACAATATGCCGCACCAAGAGTCGGTTGGCGAGGCCCACGTCGATGTTGCCCAGGGCCCAAAAGGAAAGAACGTTGGACCCAAAGAAAACAGGGCTGCTTTCCGCGCGAAGCTGTCGACACGTCCTTATGAGTGCTACCGGGATCTGGCCGCTGCACAAGGGTTGTGGTTCAATCGGTCCTTCGCCGCCATGTCGGATGTTCAGCACTCTCATCACCGGCCGAACTGCGAAGGGGTCGCGCGAGTAGACGAGAACAGCGCCTTTGATGCGGAAGGCGAACTCGTAGATCATGTCGCGAAGCTCGCGGGGTAAGTCAAGGAATCCAACTTTGGAATCATCTTCTTTGCGAGCTGCCGCCCAGGTTATTGATGTATTTGGCTGTGGTTGTTAGCTTGCGAAGGCTCAGGGGGGTCGCGACAGAGTGCACACACGTCTGACGTCATCCTCGACCACCGTCCTTGCTACAGACACGGTATGAACTCTGTGAATGGAGGTAAATGTATTCTACTACCAAAGCGACAGATTCGCAACATGATACCCTCCGGGGAGTATGCCTGAGCTAACCAGATCGGATACGAAAGGGCGGGGCTCTTAACCTCGCTTTTCGTGTCATTTATCCAAATCAATAGTTTGCTTGGACTTTACACGCGTTCCGGATGCATACTTCCTATATAGATTCTGACTTGCGAACAGAAGCCGCGTTATCATAGTCGCGGTCATGTTCCAATCTTACATACCGTTGCGCATGACCGGCCGTACTACGTCGGGCTCTACCACCATTGCAAGTTTGCGGCGAGAACGGAGGAGTATAAATTACGCATCGTTACTCTTCTTCTCTTCCTTTCTTCCTCTGATTAGTCTCCTCATTAAAATTTTCAAAACAAAATGTGGATGTGCATTTTCCAAAATACCGAGTCGAGCATGCGATGTGCAATTGGCCTCCGGCCGGCAACATCTTCATGGGGAGTAGCTCGCAATACAACTGATCTATATAAGGCTTCTCGGTCTCGCCTTCTCTCTCTCCTTCTTTAATCTTGCATTATCACTTTCAATAGAATTTCGAAGTCATGAAAAACACGATTCATGTTGTGCTCTCGGCCGAATTCTTCAAAAATGCCAGTGCACCTCTTCATGTTCTCGTCTGCACAACAAGAACACATGAAACAATCTCATAAACCAAAATGCCCAAGTCCCGCAAGCATGTCGCGCTGTGGGTCCACCGCCGGACCGTCACATATATAAAGCTTGCCTTTGATGCGTCCTCTCACTCTTCAACTTCTCATCTCTTCTGCTTTGTTCTCTAAAAGGCAAACGAGCTCTTGACATGTGTTCGCCCTTCTCTTTTTAGAACAACGCCGGCAAGAACCCATGAGCACCGCCTTCGCTCCTCCGCCGAAAGCCAACTTCCCGCATTTTACCTCCAAAAGTCTGTGAGCATGTCAACATGAGTGTCTGTCCTGCTCTTGTCCGGCTTTTACTGCATGATTGAGGCCTCCGACACGCTATATTCAAAAGCTCAGGTCATTGAAACTCGATGGAATCAGATGGATGTGTTGCGGTGGCCCGTCGATCCGCTGAGAGTGGAAACGAAGATGCAAAACCAATATCAGAAGCTTCATGAGAACGAGTTCAGAGAAGTCATGTCGATGGCATGAAGTTCTGTGCGGAGACCTGCCGTGCTATTCAAAAGAGCGATTTCGACAATGCCATGACCTTCTCATTAAAGTTCGATTGGGTTACCAGCTCGTTTGCCACAAGGGACTGGAAGGGTATATAAACAGGTGGACTGTCACCAAGCCTTCTTTGTCTCTACCTCAGCTTCAAGAGGAGAAGGAACTCAAAACTCAAGAGACGGTTCGCATCGCGTCGGCCGACTTCCTGCCTTTGGATTTGTACCTCGCCATTTTGTGTATTCGTGATGATCAGCATCATCGCTCGGAGCACCTTGCAGCCTTGAGAAGTACATCGGTAAATGCTTCATTCTTTTTGAACATTATATCTTCCGCCGACTATACGCCCAATATGCCTTCATGGGCAGCTTCCAGTCGACCTTCCTCAGATTCGTATCAAAGATGTCAAAGTCCACACCCTGCAACCTGTCCAGCCAAGACTGTGTCGCTATGCTCGGCATAAAGACCCCGAACGCTTGCTCGACCTCTGCTAATTGTGCCTCCTGCCCTGTGTTCATCTGCTGTGCGCTGTATTGATGTTCCTCCTCGTTCTGGTGTTCGAAGTCGTGACCGAGTGTGCCTTCAGATCGCAGCTTGGACAGCATCTCACGAGCGGTAATGAGGTGGTCGTTCGCGCGTGTCGCGACGGTAAAGATGGCGTCGCGGAGGCCGGGGGCTGAAGCGCCTTGTCGGAAGACGTCTTCTTCGCGGACGTTGGCTTCGGCCATTACGTCGAGTGGGAGGAGTACGGCGCCTTGCGTGGGTCCAGATTGCCCGGTCATGGAGTTGCTAGTGCCTAGTGGCTGTTGTGGTGGAAATGCGATGAGCGGAATGCCTCGCAATACGGCTGCGATACCCATGGCCTTGCCAATATGCGATGCGATGTGGTCGGTAGTGAGCGAGGCCTGAGGTAGCGCTGACAGTGTCAGATACAACATGGTCGAGTATGTGTTCTCCGCATAGCTCTCCAGTGCGCTCAAGGTGGGATACGGTGGGTTCCCTAGATATTGTTCTCTGGTGTTGATGATGCGGTGGAACCAGTTCTTGCTCAGTCGCGCCTTCCCACCAGATCGCTCATGCAGATCTTCCGCTGCTTGTGCTAACAGTATAGCGACAGGCTCTTTCGGAGGTGTACCGGCCAATGCTTTCGTGACGGTATCTCTCCAGAATTGCATGCGCATCATGCCAATTGTGGGTGTGCTCGTGGTGTCGGCGACGCGGGCGACATCAACGTTGAAGGCGCGGATCGCGAGGTATGCATCTCGGGAGGATTGCGGTATGAAGGTTTGGAGGACATGTGAAGGCGCATCGTATGTTCTGCCAATCTGTTAGTGTGCGACATACAAGAGGATTTCCATGGTAAGGCTACCTAACTAGATTCGCGCAGTACGCACGTGCGCGTGCAATCTCATCTTCTGAAGGGCGCGCGGCATTCTGAAGTCGTGGCGAAGTGTGAAATTGCCTCCGTCGTGGTCTTGGGTAGGTGTGTATGCGCCGGACGGGAGCTGTGCGGAGCCTCGGAGGCGGCATTGAAAACTTTTGAGAAGACGGAAACTACTGTACAAAGCGAAGACGCATGGTATCTAGCGGGATATGAAAGAAACCTGATCTATAGTCCTAGAAGATGCATCTGTTTGCACAATTCGGGGGAGAGTCAATTGCTCATGTAAGGCACAAAGAGTGCACGGCGACTGGTGGGTTGTATGACGCTATTACGTCGATCACCCGCAGTCGCCACGTGAAAGCGCGTCGACGCGACTGGACGAATTGGGCGCATGCGAGGAAAGCGCAACACCAACACACGACACAACACCATGGAGTCACCACACCCAGACGAGCGACCCGTTAAGAAGCGCAGATTCTTCATAGAAGACTCTTCTCCTACTCAGCCGCAATCGAAACCCATCGAGCCTAGCCCATCGTCGCCGCCACTACACGCCGCAGATACACCAGACGAAAGCAATGGCAACGACGAAGAGGCAGATTTTGGGAGTTTCGATGTCGGAATGCTCCAGGCCGTTGTTGGAGAACTTTCCACCACGGTATTGCAGAAGCTGAAGGACGTCAGTGGAGGCAATGTAGAACGAGGTATGTCAGTAAGTGTGAGGTTCTAGTTGCATAGCTGACAATGTGTAGCAATCAACATCTACTTGGACGGCTCATGGAGCAAGATGCCCTCACCGTCCCCCGCACCCGTCTTCAAATCCGGTCGACAGCCCATTCAGATGACGATAGCGAAAACCCTCAATCGAACCGAATCCGAAATATCGAACGCGTCCACACCAGGCTCAGGCACCTCCACACC